CCGCCCGCCTCTGGGCATTAGACACCTGGGCACTCGCACTGCCCGCCCACCTCTGGGCATTAGACACCCTGTGCCCGCGCACTGCCCACCCGCCTCTGGGCATTAGACACCTGGGCACTCGCACTGCCCGCCCACCTCTGGGCATTAGACACCCTGTGCCCTCGTACCGCCCGCCGCTGGGCATTAGACACCCTGTGCCCTCGTACCGCCCGCCGCTGGGCATTAGACACCCTGTGCCCTCGTACCGCCCGCCGCTGGGCATTAGACACCCTGTGCCCTCGTACCGCCCGCCGCTGGGCATTAGACACCCTGTGCCCTCGTACCGCCCGCCGCTGGGCATTAGACACCCTGTGCCCTCGTACCGCCCGCCGCTGGGCATTAGACACCCTGTGCCCTCGTACCGCCCGCCGCTGGGCATTAGACACCCTGTGCCCTCGTACCGCCCGCCGCTGGGCATTAGACACCCTGTGCCCTCGTACCGCCCGCCGCTGGGCATTAGACACCCTGTGCCCTCGTACCGCCCGCCGCTGGGCATTAGACACCCTGTGCCCTCGTACCGCCCGCCGCTGGGCATTAGACACCCTGTGCCCTCGTACCGCCCGCCGCTGGGCATTAGACACCCTGTGCCCTCGTACCGCCCGCCGCTGGGCATTAGACACCCTGTGCCCTCGTACCGCCCGCCGCTGGGCATTAGACACCCTGTGCCCTCGTACCGCCCGCCGCTGGGCATTAGACACCCTGTGCCCTCGTACCGCCCGCCGCTGGGCATTAGACACCCTGTGCCCTCGTACCGCCCGCCGCTGGGCATTAGACACCCTGTGCCCTCGTACCGCCCGCCGCTGGGCATTAGACACCCTGTGCCCTCGTACCGCCCGCCGCTGGGCATTAGACACCCTGTGCCCTCGTACCGCCCGCCGCTGGGCATTAGACACCCTGTGCCCTCGTACCGCCCGCCGCTGGGCATTAGACACCCTGTGCCCTCGCACCACCCGCCGCTGGGCATTAGGCACCCTGTGAACGTGCACCACCCGCTACGGGGCGTTACACACCCTGTGCGCGCACCGCTGGGCGTTACACGCGCCACTGGTGGCCGGGCATTATACACCTGTGCGCGTGCACACCACCGGCAGCCAGGCATCACATATCTGTGCGTGTGCAATGCCCACAGCCAGGCATTACACACCTGTGCACCCGCGTACTGCCCATGACTGGGCATTACAGAGCTGTGTGTGCATGTAACACCCTACCTGTGCTGTGCCAAGCCACTACGTCCCACTCTTCCACCTGCACGCACCTGTGTGTGCTTTCACTGCTGTACACACTCACTGCCCGTGCCTGCACACCTAGCTCACACGCCCACCTGTACTGCTAACACACTACACACACTCGTGTACGCTTGCAATGCCCCCACCTAGCCACCTCCATGCCTGTGGGCACGTTGACCACACACACCCCCCTGCACTGTTAATTAGGGATGTTAAGGGTTAACTGGTTCCCTTACTGGGAAACTGGTTCAGGATCCGCCCCTTTGGGCTGGTGCAGCCCCCTGCCCACGCCGCCGGCTAACTGGGAAGCAGCAGCTGGGGGCGGAAGTGCAGCGCCGCACAGCACCTGGACTTTACACCCCTACTTCTAATGCCTGCTGACATCCACACCCTCTCCATCCTACTCACCACACTGGCTCACACTCCTAGCATGCAAACACACCGACTCCGTGCCACTCCGACACCTGCACATGCTTGTGTGCCCTTGTAACACACTTGCACACCTACCACAAGCATTCATTTGCACGTCTCACAGGCTTGCACACACCGATTCCATCCCATGCGCTACACGCACACGGGTAATACATTCACCAAGATGCACCTTGTGGGCATGAAATGCTGCTGTGTGTTGACACATACAGGCACTACCACGTGCACGGAGGGGTGTGCCCTAACAGGTTTTCACTGGCAGCTTTGTATACACGCCCACACAAACACCTGCACGCGTGCACACACGGGCGTGCTCCCACATGCCCACCCACACACCCTGGGCATGTGGCTCTGCTCACACTCCCCCCCTTGCTGTGCTCCGACACACACGCTCAGGGGCACAGCTGGGCATGACACACAGAGACACTGACGCCCACGTTCACACACGCAGAGCTTGCTGGGGACCCAGCTGCATTCCTGACATCACCTGCCCCCACATCCAGCCCCAGGGCAGGGGGGCCCCTGACCCCCACATTCCACTACCTGGCCCAGCTGCCTAAATCAGCACAGCTGCCCCCAGCCCATGGGGGCAGAGAGAGCCCCACAACCCCACCCCCTGCCCACCCAGTCCTGGGCTGGGAGTCCCCAGGGATGCACACACGTGAAGGGCGCACACCACCCCTGGGAAAGACCAGCAACTGCTGGGCGGCGTGACACGGCTGCAGCCACACGGGCACACTGGGGCACTCAGAGCAAGACAGTTGTCAGCACACTCGGCCTGAGCCCCACCCCCCTGCCACACGGCCCGCAGCCCCACACGCTCACAGAGCCGGCAGTGGGCGCAGGGACACAGGCAGGCTCACCCCACATCTCACCAGGGCCCCATAAGGAATGGACAGCCCATCCCCCCACCGGGCCCAGCCCTGCCCCACACAGGACACGTGGTCTCCATGGCAACCCCTTTCAAGGAAGCAGCAGCCCTTGCAAGCACCTGGCAGGGGCCCACAAGCCAGAGCAGGGCCCCGGCGCGGGCGAGAGGCCCCCAGGAGGCGCCAGAGCGTGCAGCCCCGCCGCCAGGGACCCAGGCGTGGACACACTCAGGGCCGGCCCACAACCGTTTGGCACCTGAGGCGGGGAGCGCAAATGATGCCCCCAGGCCCCCTCGCTTGGGCAAAACTGACAGGGCTCGATTCTCTGTCCTAGTGGCGCCCCCCAGAGTCTGGCACCTGGGACGGACACCTCCGTGCACCTCATGGTAAGGCTGGCGTGGAACACACGTGTCTGGGGCAACGGCAAACTGCCAGCACAGGGTGCACAAGCGTGCAAGAGCAGCAGGCAAGGTGTGAGCACACTGGTAGTGCCACGGCAGGCACGCGCTGGGAGGCTATCATGAAGGAGCGGCGGTCTGAGAGACACGCAGTCTGTGGCCTGACACGCTGGGCATGACACACTCGCAGTCACGCGTGTCCTACATGTACGTGTCTCACACGTGCAAGCGCATTTGGGCCAGTCACACGCACGCTGCGGGAGAGCTTGTGTGTGCGTTTTCCACAGGGCGTGTGGAGCAGCTGGCCCTGTCGTGTCCCCTGAACTCATGCAACCCCGTTGCACACCCACTTGCACGCCCACCCCCTGGCTCCAGTATAAATAGAGACAGGACCGGGAGCGCAGGGAGATGGTCGCTCTGGTTACCGGTTGCCAAGAGACAGCAAACTACATCCCCGACACCGACAGGAAGGGAGAACCAGCTGCCCACTCTCACGCACACGCCCGGGGCACGGAGCTGGGCCCCGCCAGCCAGCTCGCACAAGGGCCCCAGCCCTGGCTCCATGCCGCAGCCAGCGTGCAAACCTGTCCTGGGCAAGGACGTGCATGACAGAGAGGGTGAGTGTGCAAGCTCTTGTGCAAATGCTGCACCAGGAACACCGGATAGTGCAGAAGTGAGTGTGAAATGGAAGGCTGGCATACAAGTTACCCCAAGAGCCCCGGGCTGTACGAAACAGAGCACGCGATTCCCACGTGTAAGCCCTGCCCCAACAATCCCAGGCCTGCGCCCCGTGCGGCATCCCCGCCAGGCGCCAAACCCGTCGTGGGCGAGGGAAAGGACGGCAGGGCCAGGCAGCGCGAGACACGCACGACATCCCCTTCACGGCAGCTGTGCACACTCAGCGTCGCACGCAGCCACGCGACTCCTGTGCGACTCGTCACGCTCAGCCCCCAGCCCAGTCAGGAGCACAGGGGAGGGAAGGGAGGGAGGAGGGCGCCTTTTCGGCTGAACGTCGTTTGCCCCCTGCTGGAGGGAGCAATGCTGCGCCCACAGGCTGGCACTCAAGGCCTCACTCCAAAGCGGGCTGCCCTCCCCAGCGCGGGGACGTGGCCACCCCTGGGCAGGGGGCGGGCGCTGTTCGCACAGAGACGCCTTGCCAAGCTCGGAGATGCAGCCCCCTCTGGGGTAGAGCCCTCGCCGCTCCAGACCACAGCGCCCCCTCCTGGCCCCACCAGAGCTCCCTACCTGTGCCAGGCCGGCCCATGATTATCTCCTTCTTGGGGGCCGGAGGCCCCGGGTAGTCGTGGGGCACGATGACGGGCAGCAGGGCAGCCGGAGAGGGGTGGAAAGCGACGGGCTGGAAAGGCGAGGAG